GAACATGCTGCTTACAGGTTGCAATCTGCCTTATATTCCTTTAAATAGGAAGCAATATTCTTGCGAGAAAACTATAATGTGTGGAAAAATGCAATACATCCTTTAATGAGGTTAAGCCTCATTCTCTTTTTCACCAGGGCATTTGCTTGTAACGGAGAGGCTTCATTTCTTCGAAAGAATTGCCTTGAAGACAGGATAATTCCTGAAATGAAAAAGCAATATTCTTGCAGAAATAGAATATGTATATATTAATATATGTGAACAAATACAATACAACCTTAATGAAGTTAAGCCTCACCATCATTTTTCTGCATAACATTGCTTTAAAAGGAAAGATTCCACTTTTTAAAATGATGTTTGTTTCCTTCTGTTGTTTCACTCAAATGGAAGGGCATACTGCATACGTGCAACCATGTCTCTTCCCAAAAGTATTACTGTGTATGTATATATATATACACATACACTTCCACTCCACAATAATGATTCTTTGTACTGTTGCATGTTTTTCAATCAATTGGTTCACAGCCCTATCAAGGTAAAAAGGAAGCTGTGCACATACTGGCACCAACACGCTCTTTAACGAAGACCATATTCATTTAAAATAGGTACTCAAAGTATTCCATTCTGACATGTTGTTGTCCTTCTTCCATAGAGTCCCTTACTTCTTTACAGGAGCTTTGCACAGCTGTCTCCTTGAAAATGACTTCGGATTCATGTCAAAGAAATACTGCAATCCCTTATATAAGGGGGCTGTACAAAATGATGCCACTTTATGCGAGGAAAGATGGGACTTTATGCTAGGTGCCCAAACCATGTGAAAATCAACAAAACATGCACACCTGGATGATATCCATGAGATGTGGCTGAGTAGACATGGGCCAACCACTCATGGACCTCCATGGGCTTGTTTTTCTTCATTGGGTTTCGGAAATGCTGGGCAGCAGTCGCAAAAACCTCGAGAAAATCTATCAATTTGTTCAATGCTGTTTGCACATTGCTCTTCTGCTTTGGCATCCAACTCACTATACAAAACCCAAAAAACAAAACAAACAAAAACAGTCAATGGAGGTCCATGATTGGTTGAGACATAGGGTTGTTTTTTGTGTTTTTTTTGTATAGTGAGTTGGATGCCAAAGCAGAAGAGCAATGTGCAGACAGCATTGAAGAAATTGATTGTGTTGAATGGTTTTGCCAATAAAGAATATATATATGTATATATATATATATATGTATATAAACGTATGGTTTGTCACAAGAAAAAATGAGGTTTTGACAATAAGTCATATGCAGAAAAGTTGCACTCCCGCAGTCCCCCGTTCTGTTTTTTTTTTTTTGTTTCGGGTGTTTGTTGGGAGCTGCCGAGGTCCTGATGGTGGCAAAATATGTGCCCGTTGTGCTCAAACCATCCACGTCCAAGTCCGGACCATGTTCGCAAAAGTTGGTACTTCGAGGAGCTGCTGAGCGAAGCTATGTGCGAAAATCATACAAACCTATCCATGTTACCTACTTAACATTTTATTTCGGTGGATCTCTAGTTTCCCAAAAATTGACTGGACTTTATTGAATGCTAGAAGTTGTGAATTGTCAACTTGGTCAATTTTTGAATTTCTTGGTCTGCAATGATGCAATGGTGGGACTGGGAGATTCACGGCCTGGCACTCGCCTCAGCGGGTGTCACGATGCTTGATGTAGCTTGCAAATCCAAATGGGACCCCAAAAGGAGATTCATAGTACTAATAATGTATTAATAGTATTAATATGTATCAATATTATACTCATACTACTGGCGTCACGGGCGTGCGCGTTTGGAAACGTGCCCATTTTAGAGGCGCTGGCTGAGGTTTTGCGGCTCTGGCCTGGCGCCAGGTGCTATGAGGGGGAAAAAAAGTGCAACGAAGCTGGCATCGCGATGCATCGCGTAGCCAAAAAGTCTGAGTTGAGGACCAACATCAAAAATCATCAAAATGCATCAACATGCTATATATATATATGATTATATATTGTACATATTATATATATGTGGTTATATATGTTTTGTCTCATTGCTTGGATACTTTAAGAACGACATTTGATGAACATTGTGACAATCCTGGCTAAGTTTGGTTGTCGTGGCATCTTCGTCGATCAGTGTCTTGCAATACGTACTAGTCAACCCGTTCTGCAGATGATGGATCGCATTCCGGAGCCATTTTTAGTGCCAGTTGCCAGTTCCCTTGGTCCCTTGGCCCCTTGATCAAAGGGTGCAGGAGGCTGCGTTGAAATCACATTCTCATCAGTCGAATCAGTCATTGATGGAGGATGTGGGATGCATGTGCAGATGTTGGTGTTGGCACGACGATGTTCTAGATTTGACCACTTCTTTTCAGTTGCAGGCAGCGGCGAGGCCCTGTGATATGCGTCAAGAATTTCAAACATTGTACATCTCAGAAAAGTTGTTGAAGGATGTTTATATATATAAGGATGTTGAAGGATGTTGAATAATGTGAGAGGATCTTGATAC